GTGCAATGGTGGGATCTTGGCTCACTGCAACCTCCACTTCCAGGGTTCAAGTGATTCTCCTGCCTCATCCTCCCGAGTAGCCGGGATTACAGACATGCACCACCATGCCTGGCTAATTTTGTATTTTTAGTAGAGACGGGGTTTCACCATATTGGCCAGGCTGGTCTCAAACTCCTGACCTCAGGTGATCTGCCTGCCTCAGCCTCCCAAAGTGCTAGGATTACAGGTGTGAGCCACGGCACCTGGCCTTAGCTGCATAATCATAAATATAAGTTTATTTTTCCAAATCTGTTGCTTCATCTGTTAAAGCTGGGGTGTGTGCTTATAAAAACTGTCTACCTCTCCTATAAAGTGTTTTTTGACCTGTAAAGTTATGTAAGGAGTAAATTTGAGATTTTCTTTTTTTCTTTCATTCTTTTTTTGGGGAATATGGCACTGTCAGTTTCAGATTTTCAATCCTTTTAGTTTCTTACTTAAACCTACTGGAGCTCCTCCTGGCCTTCATTTTTACCTGGTGTGACAGATGAGTACACAGTACATCAGAGCAGAGCATCCATTTACTCCATTATGAAGGTCTTGTCTGTCTGTATGCCATCAGTTTTGTCAAAGAGCACTTGGGTTTGACTTCTTTTGATACTCCTGCGTTTCTGTGGCTTAGACTACCATGTGTTAAGTGATGCTTTTTGAATTGTGGATTTTCTAATCTCCTTATAGATAGTCCACAGATGTTTCAGACTTGAAATGTCCAAAACTTAATTCAGTATATCTTCAAATCAACCTCCTCTTCACACCATATTTCTCTTTCTCAGTAGCATCATCATCCCTTCTAGTTCCCCATCTAGAGACCCTAATCATTTTAAATTCTTTCCTCTTACTTCTTTTATCTTTCTCATTGTTAGTCACCAAATCTTGGTTTTACCTGTGAGATCCTGGGCAATCAATTAAGTTATTTTAGTTATTATTGCAAAGCAGTCATTTGTATTTTCTCAAGAATAGCTTTTAGGAAAAGCATGAATTAGAGCAGAGCCTACCCAGATAAAGAGAACTAGATGACTGTGGTGCTGGAACTGGCTACGCTCTTTGACTGTCTCTTGGTTTTGTGTTCAACTCTTCCTCATGATTTTCTTCTTTCTGTATCCTTTCAGCTTTTGCCCCAGATAGTAACCCCTTCATTGTCTCAGTACTGCATGTCTGAAATTTTAGAAAGAAAATATGATTCAGCTAAAAAGTATCTCTGCTTGGCAGAAACTTTAATGTTAGGTTCTGGCCAGCCAGTTGATTTCTGGCTGCCCCTATGTCCAGTATGTGCTCCTGGCCCAGCAGTCATGTGATTCAAAATGTGACCACTTGGCTGTGCACAGTGGCTCGTGCCTGTAATCCCACCACTTTGGGAGGCTGTGGCGGGCAGATCATGAGGTCAGGAGATCAAGACTGTCCTGGCCAACATGATGAAACGCCATCTCTACTAAAACACAAAAAATTAGCCAGGCATGGTGGCGCGCACCTGTAGTCCCAGCTACTCGTTAGGCTGAGGCAGGGGAATTGCTTGAACCCGGGAGGCGGAGGTTGCAGTGAGCCAAGATCGCACCACTTCACTCCAGCCTGGCGACAGAGCAAGACTCTGTCTAAAAAAAAAAAAAAAATGACACTCAGTGCTGTTTCTTCATCAGGTGCTGTTCTTAGGTATGTGTTTTAATTTTTTTGTTTTGTTTTGTTTTTGAGATAGGGTCTCACTCTGTTGCCTAGGCTGGAGTGCGGTGACACTATCATGGCTCACTGTAGCCTCTAGCTCCCAGGTTCAAACAGTTCTCCTGCCTCATATTCCCAAGTAGCTGGGAAGACAGGTGTGCGCCACCACAGCTGGCTAATTTTTCTTTTTATGTTTTTGTAGAGATGAAGTCTTGCTATGTTGCCCAGGCTGGGCTTGAACTCCTGGGCTCAAGCAATCCTCCTGCCTTGGCCTCCTAAAGTGCTGGGATTATAGATGTGAGCCACAATGCCTGGCCTAATTTTTTTTTTTTAGTTGGACCTTAATGGACTAATATTACTATTAGGTACCTTGGCAATGTCTTTCGAAACCATTTTCTCCCACTGCATTGCTGGAACTCTCACTGTGTCTTACCTATACTAATGTAGCATTATTCTCCTCCTCCTTCATCCCCAGATGACTACTTCTAGGTAATCTTAACATTTCTTCTGGAGCCAGTTTCCAGTAGAAAGCTTGTCTCTCCCATTGACTCCCTGCATAAAGTCCAAGTTCTGTAGTCAAACATGCAAGGTAATTTTGGCCTAATTTACTTTTCTAATCTTTTCCTTCTATTCCATCCTATATACTTACGCTCTTGCCCTGTGGTAAAGTAGCATAATACGAGGACATTGTTGCAACATTGTTTATACAGTGGCAACAAAAAGGAAAACAATAGAGCTGTGTTTCGAAAGGGGGATTGTTGAATAAATGATGATACATTTATATTAGGGAATAATGCAATGTGTTGATTTTGCTTGTTAAAAGTGACAGAAATGCAATTCAAATTTACGTGTGCCAAAAAGGAATTTACTGACTCATATGCCTAAGAAAATCAAGAGATGTACTAGTTTCTTGCATGACTAGATGCAGAGCTTTGAACAATATCATCTGCAGAACATTTGTCTTCTCTGGTTCTTAACTCTACTTTCTTTGTGTCGGTTTTATTCCCAAGCAGCTCCTCCCAAGTTTTGGCCAGTAATGGTTTGTGTTCTCCCAGCTTAACAATCCCAGTGGAAAAACACCTCTTTCTCAGTTTTGTGGTTTCAGCAAAAGTGGTTGGTCTTACTGGCCTGGTGTGAGTCACATGCCGATTCCTAAGGCAGTCACTATGGCAAAGGGGATGGAATTTCTTGGTTATCTAGACCTGGATCATGTGCCCCTTCCTGGAATGCAGTGGTAAAGCCAGCCCTATCCAAATTGCATGAACTAAAAGAAGGGCATAGGGGCAGGGTTTTCACAAAGGAAAATTGAATTGCTGTTACCAGAATGAGGAAAAATGGATGCTGGACAGGCAGAACTAGCAGAAGTCCTCTACATCCAGCTTTTAAAAGGCCCAGAAAGATGACTCTGACACTTACCTTACAAGGTAGACGACAATGTGTGTGTGTACCTGCACATGTGTATGTGTAGACTGAGAAATGTATGAAATTATATATATTAACTGTTCACATTGCTTATCTCGGAAGTGTGATTGGAGGAGATAGAGGACCAATTTAATATTTCTGTTATTTATCTCTATGTTGTTTGGCTTGCCAGGAGCATATATTGTTTTTGTAAGAATAATTAAAAATATAAAACCCCAAAGTGGCTGGACGTGGTGGCTCACACCTGTAATCCCAGCACTTTGGGAGGCCAAGGCGGGGAAATCACTTGGGCTCAGGAGTTTGAGATCAGCCTAGGCAGCATGGTGAAACCCTGTCACTGCAGAAAAATACAAAAATCAACCATACGTGGTGGCATACACCTGTAGCCCCAGCTGTTCAGGAGGCTGAGGTGGGAGGATCACTTGAGCCTAGGAGGTCAAGGCTGCAGTGACCTGAGATCACACCACTGTACTCCAGCCTGGGCAACAGAATGAGGCCCTGTCTGAAAGAATAAATTAAAAAAAAAAAAAAAAAACACAAAACCCAAGTTACAAAGAAGAGTTTTCCTCTTAGGAATATTGTGATACCTGGCAATTGCTTTTTGGGTGGTAGTAGTAAACAATGATAATAGCTGACATTTCCTAAGTGCTTTCCCTGCATCAGGAAACCGCATATTACATAATTTCTCATTTAATCCACATAACAACCTTCTGAGATATTATTAACAATTAATTGATGTGCATATAAACTGAAACCCAAACCTGGCTATCAGAATGATCTGGAACATTAAAACAAACATATCTGCAGCCCCACTTCCAAATCAAAATCTCAGGGGCAGGGCCTTATTTATATATTTAACAGGCACTGCAAGTGATTCGTTTATTACTAAAGTTTGTTTGGGAATCTCACTGGGTCATGTATTTAATCCATGGTAGCACAACTAGTAAGAATCAGACGTAGATTTCAAACCTAAGTCAACGCTCTTAACAAATGCACTATTAATCACATGCTTATTACTATTATAATTTTATGCTTGGGTAAATCTTTGTAGATGAGCATGAAAACCTAACCAACAGTTATGAGATATATTACTCTGGGGAAAATAAGTTCTCAATTCCAGGCATCTGATTTACAAATGATTTTTTGAAACATAAGACAAGAGTTTACTCAATATAAGATAATCTTGTCATTGGCGCAATATCATTATACATTACAAAGGTTAGCAGAATTGGCACCTTTTCTTAGCGAAATGACATACTACTATTAACACATTCATGAAATATGTTCAGATGAATGTGTTATTTTGTAAAGCACTTTAGTTTATCAGATTAGCATTTTTTGTCTGTTTAACAAAAAATAAAATATAGACCGGGCATGGTGGCTCACACCTGTAATCCCAGCACTTTGGGAAGCCAAGGCTGGTGGATCACCTGAAGTCAGGAGTTTGAGACCAGCCTGGCCAACATGATGAAACCCCTCTACTAAAAATACAAAAAATTAGCCAGGCATGATGGTGCACGCCTATAATCCCAGCTACTCTGGAGGCTGAGGCAGGAGAATTGCTTGAACCTGGGAGGTGGAGGTTGCAGTGAGCTGAGGTCATGCCATTGCACTCCAGCCTGGGCAAAAGGAGTGAAACTCTGTCTCAAAAAAATAAAAATAAAAATGAAATACAAAAACAGCTTCCCCCATACCACTCCTTATCCCACACCCCCATCCCCTATCCCCTATCCTTCATCTCTCTGTTTCTCACTCGCTTTCTCACTGTCATGTGTGTGCTCTCTCTCACACACACACACACCCCACCTAAATAATTTCTTCTCTTACACCTTTAATATAAATATCTGAGTTTCAATTCAGTTTTGCAACCATTTAAAAGGCAAACATGGTATTTTGCTTCTTTCAGCATTTAATAATAAGGTAGTAAGTACATACTTTCTTCATATGGAAGGAAACCACCATATTAAGTTAATATTTGAACTTACACAATTATAATTTGCAAAAAAACAAATCAAGTTAATAATTTCTTAAGTAGTAAGTTGAAATAAATGATATTTTCCTAGCATGCTTGTCATTCAGCAGATAATAAGAAACTGAGATAAGAATGCAGGCAGTTGAAGTTCACTTCAGCCCAAGTGCAAGTGTACACAAAACAGCAAAAATATTACATAGAAAATAAAGTGAACGTTGTCCATTGGATTGAGTATGGTCCTACCATTTGTCACAGTGCACATATTCATAGTTGTGGCTATCTTTGGGGTCACTGCTGTGTTCAGACTTGTGTTGGAATTTGGAGTCATCTTGGGACTTGAGGTCATTTTGAGATCTAGGCTTGTCCCAGGATTGGGGTTCATTCTGGGATTGCTGCTACCGTTTGTCACAGTGTTCATATTCATAGTTGTGGCTATCTTTGGGATCACTGCTGTATTCAGACTTGTGTTGGAATTTGGAGTCATCTTGGGACTCGAGGTCATTTTGAGATCTGGGCTTGTCCCAGGATTGGGGTTCATTCTGGGATTGCTGCTACCATTTGTCACAGTGTTCATATTCATAGTTGTGGCTGTCTTTGGGATCACTGGTATATTCAGACTTGTGTTGGAATTTGGAGTCATCTTGGGACTCGAGGTCATTTTGAGATCTGGGCTTGTCCCAGGATTGGGGTTCATTCTGGGATTGCTGCTACCATTTGTCACAGTGTTCATATTCATAGTTGTGGCTGTCTTTGGGGTCACTGCTGTATTCAGACTTGTGTTGGAATTTGGAGTCATCTTGGGACTCGAGGTCATTTTGAGATCTGGACTTGTCCCAGGATTGGTGTTCATTCTGGGATTGCTGCTACCATTTGTCACAGTGTTCATATTCATAGTTGTGGCTGTCTTTGGGGTCACTGCTGTATTCAGACTGGTGTTGGAATTTGGAGTCATCTTGGGACTCGAGGTCATTTTGAGATCTGGACTTGTCCCAGGATTGGTGTTCATTCTGGGATTGGTGCTCGTCCCGGTATTCAGGCTTGATACGGTACTGGATACTGCCATAGAATTTGAGGTTGTTGATGTTGAAGTTGTTCCCGGAATGTTAACAAACATGAAGAGCAGGCCGATCAGTGATAGCTTGAACATCATCCTCCTCTGTTTCACAGTAATTAGATAATTTTAATTGAACACATGGATCACAAATAGGCAAGCATATATCCTTAATTGTGTTTATCAGTACATTTGTGTTATGTAAATGTTTGCTTTTTCACTGTTAGTGAACAAATAAAAAGCTTCCCTTTCTTTGTTGTCAACATCTGCTGACAGAAGACCTATTTTCTATTGAGGGCTACCAGCTGAAGGCAAAAACAATCCAAAGACTAAAAAAGAGCTTAATTGGCATTTTTCTATTTAAAAAAGGAAAAAAAACACTAGACATTCAATACAATAAATATGGGGGCTTGAGATCAGTATAGAGTAGGGTAGGGGCAAAGGCTGAGAGACAATTTGGGACAGTAGAGCAACAAAAGAAATAATGAAATTTTCTTATGACCTTTATTCCAACAATTTAAGGTTTTAGTTTAGGTCACAAATTAGGATATTACTTCTAAATATTTACTCCAGAGACTAAAGAGGTTAAACTGTAGGATTTCCCCAGTGCTGGGATGAGATTTTCTTCGTTAAAACAACAACAAAAAACTAGTAAGTTCATAGTTTTAAGATTTAGAAATGAGCAAAACCAACTCCTTCATTTTGTAAATGGGCTCAGACAAGGGACATAACTTGTCTGAGGGTGCATATCTAAAAATGACCCAAGCTAGAACTTAAGTCTGTGACTTAAAGCCCAAATTTTAACTGTAAAACTCTTAACATATATAGTAAAAGTTGCATTTGGCTCTAATATGTAATTGAGAACATTTCAAATTAATGTTACCTTTTGATATTTTTCTTTGAAGAGTAAGAATTCAGTCTTTCTCCAGTGTCTATGGGGAATCTGATTTCTCACTCACTACATTCTATTTAAATATAATTAGTGAGGAAGTCACGTGTTCTAAACTTGACCTGCCATTTGCTCTTTGGAAGTATCCAACGGAGTGTTTCCAGACAACTACGCATAAACAGATAGACTTTGGCAGAGATTAAAGAATTCAAATAAAGTTCTAAAATCTGCTTGCTTATTTAAAGAATCCAGTGAATAGCATTTGTTATTTCTCTTATCCATGTATACATTAATGAATTGCTTCACTGGATTGACTCTAACTAGATGAATTTACTGTTTTGCCTGCTGTGATTATTATGATTTTAAACCAAGTAAGTGTATTAAAGATGTCTGCTTTTTTCTTAGAACATAGGGTAGTTTCTACCCATGGTTATTTTGAAGTTTAAAAAATAATTCAGTAATATAACGTTTCAGGTATTTAATTTTTGGTAAATAAAGTAACCTTGGAAAAGAAGTTAAACTTCATTAATACGAAACTTAAGAAAAGGACTACATATGAAAGTGATACTAAGTTTACAAACTTTTCTGTGTTTGTGTATGGTTTTTTAATGTATTAAACCACTCACCTTGAAGTGCATAAAGTAAATTTTTTAAAGGAGTTTTGTCTTTTGGTCAGCCAAGAGTTTTCCGTGATAACTAGCATATAGGGAAGTTGAGTTGTATTGTGCTAATGTTTTCATCACATTGGCCAGCATACTTTAAAAATTGCAGGGCTGTGAACAATGGTGTTGACATACAAGGAAATTACAACATAAATGGCAGAAATACAAGCCGGTACATGTTCCTTGCTTGTTTTACTGTGCTATGAAGATCGTTTTTCCCCTGAATGAATAAACCATGAATAGAACCATGCTTGGTAAATCTTATTTATGTGGTACATATAATAACTTCACTTAACCAGAGGTTAATATGGTCAGATCTAAGAAGTAAACAAAAAAAGTTTCTTGGCAACCAGAGTAGATATTATGAATCAGAGTACCACAGTAATTTACAGGAGTTTGTCATTGTCCTCTCTCTGCTCACTTGCTCATTCTGTGGATTTCTTTAGGGGCATATAGTTGATAATAGTAATAGTAGTGTTTCGAACTTGAGCAAACTGTGACTTTATTTTTCTAATCCTGATCTTTTGAGTACTACACTTACACAACTCTTTATTGATGCTTCAAACACCTCAGTCTCAACTTGTTTAAAATTCAAAAGGTAGCATTTTCTGCTTCCTATTTTTGTATCTACATATATTATTCTCATAATCTCTTGGTTAATTGTATCATCACCTAGCCAAATGTTTCTCCAACATTGGGTTTCTCATTATCTTCTCTTTCTTATTTCTCTTAAGCTCCCCAGGCCTCTTGATGATGATTAAGTAAAATTTAAATTCTATTTAGTACTCAAATGCTCCCAAACAAACAAAAATCAATTTGCCGTTATTCGGGTCTTCAAATACCCACCAACTTTGTATCTTTGTGCAGCCTCCTCAACTTGCCCAAAGTATAGTAATAGCCCCCTCTTATCCTAAGTTTCACTTTCCATAGTTTCAATTACCCATGGTCCTCCATGGCCTGGAAATACTGAATAGAAAATTCCAGAAATAAACAATTCATAAGTTGGATGTATTATGAGAAGGTTAATAACCCAGCACTATGTCACAGTGCTGCATCAGTCAGCTCACTTCATCTTACCACATAGGCATTGTGTCATATCACATCATCACAAGAAGGGCGAGTATAGTACAATAAGATATTTTGAGAGAGAGACCATGTGCACATAGCTTTTATTATAGTATATTGCTATAACTTTTATTTTATTGTTTTTAATCTCTTACTGTGCCTAATTTATAATTAAACTGTATCACAGGTATTTATGTATAGGAAAAAAAACAGTATATATTGGGTTCAATACTGTAATTCTCTGGTTTCACGTATCCCTGAGGGGTCTTGGAACATATCCCCCACAGTTAAGGGGGTACTACTGTACTTTCCTCATTCAAAATTGTGTTGTTTCTTCAAGTTCCACTCATGTCAGCACCTTTTATAGGATCCTTCCCTAATTCTTCACATCAGAATCAGTCATTTTAGTATTTTATACTTATCAGAGTCTCCTTTTCACTAAAGAAACTAAATCTTCCACCATATTCTGGCTTTTTTGTGGTAAGATACCACCTCTTATTCCTTCTGTTCCCTCTACCTTCTGAAATACTGAGTGCTTATAAAAGAATAGGATAGGCCGGGGCGCGTGGCTCACCCTGTAATCCCTGCACTTTGGGAGGCGAGCGGGCGGATCACGAGGTCAGGAGATCGAGACCATCCTGGCTTAACACGGTGAAACCCCGTCTCTACTAAAATACAAAAAATTAGCCGGGCGCAGGTTGGCGGGGCGCCTGTAGTCCCAGCTACCCGGGAGGCCTGAGGCAAGGAGAATGGCGCCGAACCCGGAGGCGGAGCTTGCAGTGAGCCGAGATGGTGCCACTGCACTCCAGCCTGGCCCATAGAGTGAACAGACTCTCCGCCCTCAAACAAAAAAAAAAAAAAAAAGAATAGGATACAGGGCCAGGTGCAGTGGTTCATGCCTGTAATTCCAGCACTTTGGGAGGCCAAGGTGGGCAGATCATGAGGTGAGGAGATCGAGACCATCCTGGCTAACACAGTGAAACCCCTTTTCTACTAAAAATACAAAAAATTAGCCGGGCGTGGTGGCACGCGCCTGTAGTCTCAGCTACTCGGGAGGCTGAGTCAGGAGAATTGGTTGAACCCGGGAGGCGGAGGTTGCAGTGAGCTGAGATCACACCACTGCACTCCAGCCTGGGACACAGAGCAAGACTGACTCCATCTCAAAAAAAGAAAAAAAAAAAAAAGACACAGTAAGTATTGGAATTCATTGAAATACCTCCTGTTTCACCATGTCGGAGGGCTGGTATAATTAATGTCTAAAGTAAAAGTTATTTGGTTATTTGCAGTTTTCCCTTCACATTAGCATAAATTTGGAAGATATAGGCCTGAGTTTAACTTTCATCTCTACTTTCCTGGCTGCTGTTTTGAGAGGATTTCTTCATTTGTACAATGTGGATCATAATGCACATAATCCCTTGTCTATAATCTGAAATCCAAAAATCCTCCAAAAACCTTAAGTTTTATCAAAAATAAAAAAGTTTGACACCACAATTTATTTGGTGCAAATGCCTTATCTGCATTGGTGTGAGGTTTTTAGCTATCTTTATTTGTTTCACTTAGTGTGGATAGTAAATGTTTCACTGCAGAAATATTGATGAGGTTGATTTTGGGGTGCTGTTCCAGTTTTTACTGGAGTGTTACATAATACATGATAAGAGTAGTACTTAGCATATTCATGTTCCTCTTCCTTCTGGGCACAGCACCATGCCACTCTTAGCATTCTGATAGTTAGGTGGTACCATCTGACTGAGTTCTGGCCACTAAAATGTCAGTTCCAGTGATGTACAATCGACCCTTGAACAACACTGGGGTTAGGGGCACTGTATCTCCACACAATTGAAAATCTACATATAACTTTTGACTCCCCAAAAACTTAACTACTAACAGACTGTTGATCGGAAACCTTTTGATAACATAAACAGATTAACATGTTTTGTAAGTTAATGGTATATATGCTATATTCTTAGAGTGAAATAAGCTTGAGAAAAGAAAATGTAGCTCAGAAAATCATGAGGAAGAGAAAATATATTTACTATTCTCTGAGTGGAAGTGGATTATCATGAAGGTCTTCATCCTCATTATCTTCATGTTGAGTAGGTAGAGGAGAAAGAGGGATTGGTCTTACTGTCCCTGGGCTGGCAGAGGTGGAAGGATTAGCACGGTTCAAACCCGTGTTGTTTAAGGGTCAACTGTATATCATTTTTAAGCCTGATGTCTTAACTTCTCACCAATCTTCCATTCTTGCTTTCTTCTGTCAACACCTACTAGAAACAGACGGTTCAGTGGAGGGGGTCGCCAAGACCCTAGAAGATGGTAAAACCATTAGAAGACATGATCTAAGGGAAATAAACTTTCGTTGTCCTAGCCAGTGATATTTTGGGATTATTTGTGACAGAAATTAGTTTGTGCTGACTAACATAATTACATGCTGGACATTTTGCCTTTGCCTCTTCAAATCCACTCTGTTCTTTACCCTGCTCTGTGCAGAGGGTATCTTTGGGCTCCTCTCCTCTCTGGCTTTCAGCTGGCCCATAGGGAATACAAACAGAAGATTGGAGGGAAGAAAGAGAGTAAGGTTAGGATGTATATATTTTTGGCTCCCTTTCTGTAGGGTCCCTGTGGGCTGGCTGCATCCCTCCACGCAGTATGGTTTTTGTTGGGTGACCCTCTCCACACAACCTACTCTGCGTCTACTTTTTGCTAACTGCTTCCTGCACTCACTACTTTAGGTGTAGTATCACACTGTCTCTTAGAGTTTCCTTAAAACCTGCCTTCTCCTTTATACATAATCTCTAATATCTCAATTTGAATGTGCCACCTGTTTCCTGCTAGAACTTTAATTGCTACAAACAGTATGTACACTGTATCATCTTCCTAAAATCAACCAGGCATGGTGGGATGTGAGCTATAGTCCCAGCAACTCAGGAGGCTGATGTAGGAGGATTGCTTGAGCCCAGGAATTCAAGGCTACAGTGAGCTATTGGATACCCTAACCTGGGCAACAAAGCAAGACCTTGTCTCTAAAAAGCAAAAATTAAGTTTAAAAATAGTGTCTTTCTTTATATACTTACATTGCTACTTTCAGTTGATCTGTTTTTGAAATGTTTCCAGAACTGTCTTCCCTCACGTATTGATTCTTCCAAAATTCTTAAGAAAATGGAAAAAAGTAATTTCTGAAAATCATGAGAATGATCATAAATTTCATACAACACTTTTTTGAGAATTTCAAATTGCAGTGTTAATATTTTACTTTAGAAACAGGTCCAATTTTCCCTTCTGTAATTTTTTTCTTTGGTCTTTTTGGATATATATATTTTTTTTTCCATGAAAAGAACACAGAGATCTTTTCTTGAGTGATATTTGCATAGACATTACCTTGGCAATTTTTTTTTTTTTTTTTTTTTAGAAAACCCTATTAAGTTTTATGCCATGTCTATGTTCATTGCACCTGTGCCTCATGTCTCATTTATTTATTTATTTTACAATTTTTTTTTTTTTTTGAGACGGAGTTTCGCTCTTGTTGCCCAGGCTGGAGTGCAGTGGCACGATCTCGGCTCACTTCTACCTACGCCTCCGGGATTCAAGTGATTCTCCTGCCTCAGCCTCCTGAGTAGCTGGGATTACAGGCGCCCACCACTACACCCTACTAATTTTCGTATTTTTAGTAGAGATGGGGTTTCACCATGTTGGCCAGGCTGGTCTCGAACTCCTGACCTCAGGTGTTCTGCCCACCTCGGCCTCCCAAAGTGCTGGGATTACAGGTGTGAGCCACCGCACCTGGCCTTCATGTCTTGTTTAAATAGGACTTCTAAAGTTTGAAATGAGGCCAGCTTCAGTAGCTCATACCTATAATCCCAGTGCTTAGGAGGCCAAGGCAAGAGAATCACTTGAAACCAGGAGTTTGAGACCAGCCTGGGCAATAGCATGAGACCCTGTCTCTACAAAATATATTTTTTAAAAAATTAGCCAGGTGTGGTGGCACACACCTGTGTAGTGTTAGCCGCTTGGGAAGCTGAGGCAAGAAGATTGCCTGAGCCCAGGAGTTCACGGTTGCAGTGAGCTATGTTCCCTCCACTGCAGTTCATCCAGTTAAGGGGACAGAGCGAGACCCTGTCTCAAAAAAATTGTGTTTTGAAATGAATTTATGTATGTTTGGTTATTTCTGAAAGCAGTTCAGGCCTACAGCCATACCACCCTGAATGCACCTGATCTTGTCTGAAAGCAATTCAGGTTTTCAGGATTAAAATTTTTATGCTACTAGGTTTTTAACCTATATTTAAAAGTAGAACATTTAAAACATTTTAGTAGTATATAGCACTGAAAAGTGGACTTTTAGTGTAGACAGTTGTTTTTCAAAAAACTATTTTGTAATCCTGGCTACTTGGGAGCCTGAGGTGGGAGGGTCGTTTGAGCCCAGAATCCAGTTTGGGCAACAAAGAATTCCAGTCTCTTAAAAAAAAAAAAAAAAAAAAAGGAAGAAACTATTTGGAAGTTTTGTGAACAATAGATATGCAAAAAGGACATTGTTATAATAGGCCTAATTGTGAGTACTTTCTAGAATGTATATAAGCATGATTCTCTTCAATAGTAAAATGTCAGCCTCTTCATTTTAGAAATCTAATATAGGAAAAAGAACACATTTCTCCTTAGTTATGAAACACAGGTTCTCAGGGTGAATGCCCATCTTTGAGCAAGTTTGTCTTCCTAATGGTATAATACTGTAAGTCTGTCATCTAATTTTGGCTTGTTGTCACTTATTTTTCATAATCAAAGAAAAATGATTTAATTTTAAAAAGATACTCTCCTTTCTGTTTTCTTCTCTTGGATGATAGTATCTGTCATGCGCATCCATGTGAAGAGACCACCAAACAGGCTTTGTGTGAGCAACATGGCTGTTTATTTCACCTGGGTGCAGGCGGGCTGAGTCCAAAAAGAGAGTCAGCGAAGGGAGATAAGGGTGGGGCCGTTTCATAGGATTTGGGTAGGTAAAGGAAAATTACAGTCAAAGTGAGGTGGTTCTCTGGCAGGCAGGAGTGGGGGTCACAAGGTGCTTAGTGGGGGAGCTTTTTGAGCCAGGATGAGCCAGGAAAAGGAATTTCACAAGATAATATCATCCCTTAAGGCAAAGACCGGCCATTTTCACTTCTTTTGTGGTGGAATGTCATCAGTTAAGGCAAGGCAGGGCATTTGCACTTCTTTTGTGATTCTTCAGTTACTTCAGGCCATCTGGGCGTATATGTGCAAGTCCACAGGGGAATGTGATGGCTTGGCTTGGCTCAGAGGCTGACGTATCCTATCTGTCTGGTTTACGAATCTTTAATTTTAACTGCTCTTACCACATATATCTGATTAGTCATTAAGTCGTGTTGGATTCTGCTTCAGAAATTTGTGTTTTATGCTTCCATGTCGTGCCTACAAACTTTATTTGGTAGCTTCAAGCAGTTGTCCAGCCTGGGTGGCAAACTTTCTCTGTAAAGGACCAAATAGTAAACATTTTAGGCTTTATAGGCCCATATAAAGTTTTTTTTTTTTAATTTTTCTTTTCTTCTTTTTTTTTTTTTTTTAAATGCTTTAAAATTAA